AAAAAATACACTTCTGGAACACTGCTTTGGCTTTTATAAACTAATCTTTCAGTCTTACAACATTGCAAAATAAATGCATGAACTTCCACCAGTCATCTGGGTCTTGCATTGATACTGACTGGATGTGGGCATCAGATGGTGGACAAAAAATGGGTGAAACCTGACTGTGCTTCCTGGGAGGTGAGAGATCATTTCTGATAAGGCCAGAAAAGGTGGAGTGAAAATCAGCCAGAGAAGATGGCAGCAGCCAACAGAGCCTGGGGCACAGAGAAAAACACAAAACAAGGGAGTGTGGGATGGATGGAGGCACCATGATCCTTCCTGGAGGAGTGGGAATGAGGACTGGCAAGCCACAGGTCTGCTGGGGCAAGCAGGGCGGGGTGATTTGAGGTAAAAAAACCAGGTACCAATCACAGCAGTGATCAACAGCAGAGAGAATTGCTGTCCCAGTCACCACTACTGGATAAGGTCTGTAATTCAATGAAAAAAAAAACCAGCTACAAGCCAATTGCTTTATAAAATATACAATTTAAAAATTTTTTTTTTCTTATGTTTTGGGTGTATCCTTCTCTTTAAACCCAGGGCAAAATATAGGCAAATTAAACAAGCCTGTATTCAGGACAAAGGTGCTGGGAAAAGACTCTAAATATCTGTATCACTCTGTAGCATGCAAATTGAAGACTCAAGCAGTTTCTTGCTTTCACAGTGTAGGAGTCTACTGAAGGGTATGTACAGAGTGGGAGAAAACACATCAAATTCTGAGGCTGAGGAGAGAGTTTCAGTTTCTGTGCTGCAGCAACTCACTGTAGTCCCAGATGCTTGCAAAAATAAGTAAAGCCTGCTAAAGCATTACCCTAAGGAGTGAGGGGGAATCAAAAGCTTCCACTTGAAAAGTCAAAATCTTACATTCATAATATTTTGCTGCACTTAATTGCAACTACACTTGAATACAAAAAAGCTGTTAAATTCCTTCAGCAACTGTTGGCTGAATCAAATTTCTGCAGTGTTTATATATTTCTGCCATAGAATGACAGTGTCACCTTTGCAGTCTTTATGTGAGTTTAAAATAAGGCCTGTCTTCTATTATCTGTTATATGTAAAATATTTCTGTTATTTGATGTGTCACCTAAAAATGCAGAAGACACTTCTGACTTCTGACACTTTTTCCCTAAGAAAATGCACTGTTAAACATTACTGTATTACTCAATTACAAAGCATAAAAAAAGTAGGCATCTAAATTTCTTTCTAAATCTACTTTTTTAAAATATCTGTTTTGACAGCTTCATAATAGGTTTTTAAAAAATCAAAAAACAGATTCACACATATTTAGAGTTTTACGTCTGACACTAAATATTTCTGAATATTAGATTAAAATTAGACTTTGAAGCTTTTTGTTTTATGTTTAAGTGAACCGGTTGCAATTTCATTTGCAAAAGAATAAAAACAGGATCTTGCTTATGAATTAATGAAATGAGGGATTTTGTTAACTTTAAGATTAAGAAAAAGTCTGTATTTGAGTAGATTTACTAGCTTAACAAGAGCATCAATGTTTACAAAAAATAGGCACATTAAATGGTGAAATATTGATCTAGAGAAAAGCTCTCCATGTCAGGTGTCCCAGCACCACCTGCATGCCCAGTCTTAGGGCTGCATTTATTATCCAGTGAATTTTTAGCCAAGCTACTAAGTCTTAAGACATCTGGAAGAGTTAATATCATAAGCTCGAATTTTTTGGCTCATGCTGCTTTCAAACTAGCTTCAATTCTTGTGTGGAAAAAATTAAGAAGTTTTATTGGCACAGGCATGAAATGGACCAGTACATATATTAAGAGGATTAATTACACCAAGATTTATGCACAGGCTCATTATCATCAACTCGCAGAGATGTTTCCGAAATTAACAAAAAGGATGGATTACGCTTTTTGAGGCAGTGGGAAGTCAGACATCAAGGAGACTAAACTAAACCTTTCAAACAGTGCTAAGGAGGCTGGAGTGAGCAGAGGCTCTCACCTTCCACGCAGGAGGGCTGAGCCCGCGTGGTCCCGGCCACCTGCCCCGGGAAGCAGGAGCACTTCACGGTCTGGGAGCGCTCCTCGATCCGGTTCTTGTTGCAGCACCGGTGCACGGCCACCACTTCACACGTCCCTTGCTTCACTTGGTGCTGGCCTGACAATTCCAGAGGGAAGGGATGGAGAGAAAAACACATCAGTGCCTTAAGGAGCCAGGTTGTGCAGCCCTATGTCGGTCTCAGATTCAGTTAAAGAGAGAAATGGAAAGTTTCTAACCAGGCAGAAGCCTGAGAAGGTGCTGAAAAGAATGTAAATGAGGCTCTTTATCTCTCTTGTTGTTCACATTGTTCATAGTTAAGTTCTACCACTGTGTGTCATGCACTGTGCACCAGTGGTGTGGATTCTTTTCACTTCAGGACCAATGGAGTTGATCTGCATGAAGCTCTGTATAAAGAGCAATGCATTTTGAAATAAATCAGAGTTTTACTCTCTCAGCCTTCTGAAGTGGAGTCATATCATTCCCGTTCTGCCTCAACTGCATCAGCCCTACAAGATACTGAATCTCCTCAGTACCAGCTTAAATCCCAGGAATGCAGGGAAGCAAAGAGTCTTGTAGGATCTTGCCAATTCTTTTGCTTCTTTTCTGCCAAGGTCAGGCTTAAATCGTGAAATGGTGTTTCTTATTTGGACTCAGATGTTTATTAGTTCTTATCTATCACAGTCTCACGAGCCATGAGTTCTACAGCACTTCACTAACAACCTACAAAATGGAGCCCCATCTCTCTCTACCTACAGGCCTTTTAAGGATAAACTGTCCAATTAAGAAATGACACCTAAATTATTTTTACTTTTAACCCAATAACCAACCACCCGTGGCTTTCAATGTGGACTTTTTATCCAATTACACAAAACCACCCAAACCCATGGAGAAGATGATGAAGAAGGATCCTCCCCCATAAAACATCCATCTTGCTTTATATCTATTACTATATTCTAAAGCTTTAAGTTTTCTACCATGCAATGTTACACACTTCTATTCAAGCCACACACCCATAATCCAAGTTCCATCATTCAATTTTGGAAGCCTTCTCCACGGCCTCAGGACAAATGCAGTGTTCTCTTGGGAGTCAGTGTCTGTCAGCACAGAAAGCCTAAAATTTTCAGCAACCAGGGTTCCAACAGGATCTGGCTCATTCCTTGAGTTTATATACTATTCTCTCTTGTGAAATTACTTTTTTGTAAGTCAGTTTTCCAATCTATCTGCCCTCATCCTTACAAAGCCAGAGCAGCTTGGAGTAATCAGTTAGATGATGAAGGCAAAAAGACAGAGCACACCCATCTTCCTTTGCCTTCCTGACATCCATCAGGTTTTATATTTAATTCTTTATTTAATTATTTTCTTTCATAAATGGACACAGTGTATAGGATAATATTTAAAACAAGAGAGACATCTTAAATAGTCGGGAAACTTTTTAACACATCAACATGTAAGCGCTGCTTGCTATGTTTGTCATCACAGACAGGCTGAGAACAAGGTAGGCTGTAAAGCTGTTATAGATAGTCAAGTTTTATCCAAAAAGAAAAAAAAAAGCTGATTTTTCCCCTCCCTTTCTCTTCTTTATTCTTGCCTTCGTGTCTCACCTCACCTCACTGCTCCTTGCAGCTGATCATTTTTCTCCACTGCCAAACTTCCTCTCCATCCTGCCAAAACCTTCTCTCAGAAACTCCACTTCACCAGCCCCTCAGCTCCTTGCATAAGTCATTTCCATGTCCTCACTTTCCTGAACAACCTTCAAGTGCTTCAGCTTGCATTTGTCTTGTCTTATTTAGAGTAGAGCCTTGGATGGCTCTTATCTGTGTTTGTAAAGCACCTTGTAAATTAACAGCACTACAGAGCAGGGTGAGTTATTTCACAAGAGAGCCAGACAGAGAGACAACTCTGAGAATAACAAGAACAGTCACCATCAAAGCAGCACGAGGTATGAGAATAGAGACAGGCAGATATTGGTGTAGGTGTGGCTGATATCAAAGGCACAGAGAATAAAAAAATGCAGGGGGAAGGCAGAGAACTCTCCACAAACAGCCAATCCTCCAAGTGACAAACCTGAGAATTATCCTCCTTCCTCCCACTCCGTGTTTGCCCTGTTTGGATGGGTTTTTTTTGATATTTTGGGTTGGTTTGGTTTTTTACAATATCTTCTGCTAGCTAAAATTGGTCACACCTTTACAAATGAAATTTTCCTGAGGGATAAAGATCGCTGTAATTTTTGTGCAGAAAATGTTATTACTTGATTAGGTGTGAAATCTTAACTTTCAAAAAGAGTTAGCAATGCAATTTAGGTTTCGGTAGGGGTTCTTTTTTTTTCAAAAAGTATTAAATACATACATATAACTTTTTTAAAAAGTTGGCTTGGCATTATTCCTTGCTGTGTATGTTTTGGTTTCACAAGTATTACAAGCACAGCTGAAATACTTGTGAAAACACTTGGCTGCCTGAATTTTGTTGCCAAATTTGTATTCATAACAACCTCAATGGACAAGAAACTATGCATATTCAATCTTTGAGTGGAAATATGGTGTTCTACTTGAGCACTCAACTTTTTAAGAAATAATATATACACAGATTTTTGGGTTTTTTTTCCCTTTTTTTTCCCCGAGGACAGAGCTACACTACTTAAGCAAAATGTGCTACAGTAGAGAAATAAGGTATTTTACAGAAAATTGGAAAAATGCTGAAGATAACATAAAAGTATCTTACAGAAAAACTGTAATAATTTTATTGTCAGACTGACTTTTCATGCAAGTACCTAATAGTCATATAATAATAAACATGGAAAAAAATTGAAAACACCTACTAGTCAGAAGGACAGCAGCTTCTCTGTAAGTCAATATGGAAAACAAACACACAAAAGAGAAAGCAAATTTGCTACTTCATCCCAAAGTATTGTTCCTCAAAATATCTGACATGACAATGTTTGGAGAAAAGCACAAGTGGCACAAGTTCTGACAGAAAAGATTTTGTAAAATGAGATCACTATTTAAGAGAGGTTGTTAATTTATTTATTAAATAAATTTAAAATTTATTTCATTATCTGTTTTTTTAGTGCTATAGCCTGAATCAAAACTCTTTGAAGTAAACAGGAGAAAATTTACATTGGTTTCCTACAGTACCCACTGTGGTGGTCCTGCATTCACTGGAATCAACAGCAAAGTTTCTATTCTCTTCAGGAGAGCAAGGTCAGAGTATGCTTGGTCTCTTGAGAATGAGATTTTATAAAGCAAGCAATAGAAGCAAAAATTTTGGGCTGCTCAGGCCACATATTTGTGTTTGTCATGTATCTTATCTGAAAACCAAGTGGCCAGGCCTTGCCCTTAAGCAAAGTCACTATTCACCAGACTCTGGGATAAGAGAAGAAACCTTTTTTTCCAGAAGGCACATCGTAAGGATGCCCAAGATCCAGCTCCAAGGATCAATATGTAGCTGCAAGGATGTCTGTTTTCCACCTCAAATCCTTCTTCCTTTAGGTGAACAGTCCTGTTAAGCCAATACCAAAGGAAATCAAACACGCTGGCCCTGAGCATACAGCTCCAAAAACCTGGGGCTCTCTTTCAATTATCTTGTTTGACTTTTAAAGCAGTGACAGTGGTGCCCTGAAGTGCCAGGAGTCAACAGACACAGTGCAGTTTGCAGCAGCTGAGGTTAAGATACCTCATGAAAGCAGCCCTTGGTTGAGGAGCTGTTTTATTGTCACATTCCTGCCTGGCAGCTCCACAAGCAGGTGAGGGAAGGTGTCTCCTCTTCATCTCCTGGCAGGAGTGGGATCCCAGGTTTGAAAACACCACTGCCACACAAGGGAAGGCAGCACTCCCCTCCCTCACCCCTAATGCACAGCTCTCGTGGAGTACAGCAGTGGAGGCACTAAAAAGCCACAGACATCTGCATGCATCATTTACATTAATTGGATTGCCCTTGTAATAGTCTTTCCCCTCCTACATGCTCACATCGATATTTCCTCCTGCTTGTTCACACACATCCTGACACTTTTTATGCTGCTGAGCACCATATGAATTTCTCCTTAATATTCAGACACATCTGTGAGCAGGTGCTGAACAAATGCTGAGGGTTAAAGTGGTGCCTTTCAGTGCTGTTTTTGCCAGTGTTCAGAAATCTAGAGGATAAACACACTTTCACATTTAAGAAAATTCACAGAAAATCTTGACCAACCCTAACTCAATCTATTCCTCCCTAGATCTACTGAAACCTGTTGTATCTGCATTCAGGGGCCCAACAGTAGCAAAAAAGAAAGAATATAAGAATTCTCTCCTGCGTGTTTGAATATTCATCTTGCACTAAATAAACCTTCATCTCAGGTTTAAAGTACACTTAACATGCAGCTGACATTATACCGACAGAAACGCTCAAGAAATGCTTTAAAATATAATTGATGGATTCTCTGGAAGCCAAGTCATTAGAAGAGCAGGGAGTGAAGAGTTTTCAAAATGTGAAATCACAGTAAATGAGTTCTATGCTGGACACATCAAGAAAGCCATTTCAGGGAGAAATGCAGTGAGAGGGAGGGAGAAAAGCTGTGGAGAGCAAAGCCCATACATTCATAGCTCATCACCTGTGAACTTATTCAGATCTGTGACTTCAGGGTTGTTGGTATTTTGGGTTGAATTTCGGTTTCATCTTCCCTTTTAAATAAGAAAACTCTCCAGAGGGAGAAACATTTTATCAGCAGCACCACCACAGCAAGGTCTCTGTCACAGAGCACCCTCTGCAAACTGAAGGGAGAGCATGGGCCAGCCAGGCATGGGGCAGGACAGGGGATGGGTGTTGAAAACCACACATCTCTGAGTTCCCTCTTATCAGCAGTTTGGCATGTGTGTTGCTATCCACATTTTAGCTTCTTTACAGCTTTTCTTCCCCAGAAACACCAGTGCTGTTTGGTTCACTAGGGACACCTTCTCTGTCTCCCAGTACAGGGCACAGACACAATGGGACAGGGCTCCCTGATGGAAGCAACCCCCAGGATTCTCCCTGCTGTGAATTTTGCTGCCTTCCATAATGAGATGCCTACAGATAACAGCAGCCCCCAGGTGCCCAGGTCTAGAATGCTTCTTAATGACCTCAAGAAGTGGCCACATGAAGGTTCT